TAATGAGAAAAATATTGTTTCATTCATACCTATGACATTGTTTTATATGTCGGATGCTTTTTATTTGTATTCAATTGAACTATTGTTTGCCATTCTTGTGTATATTCTTGAACTAGTTTACTATAATCACAAAATCATATATAATTATTTGTTCAATAAATCTATGAATTAAACTGTTTAAATCTTTCTAATGAATTACTTATTTAATTATAAGAATTAAGAATTATAAGTATTATAAGAATTTAATTATTTATTCAATAAAAATTGATAAATTATTTGTTCAATAAATCTATGAATTAAACTGTTTAAATCTTTCTAATGAATTACTTATTTAATTATAAGAATTAAGAATTATAAGTATTATAAGAATTTAATTATTTATTCAATAAAAATTGATAAAATTAATTAGACTAAATAAGTTTATTTTGACTACGTTAATCTCAAGTATATTTGAGACTAAATATGTGTAAGCCTAAAACCATTTAAAGGTTTTTGCTATGTAGCGCTTACTGTATATGAAATATTTATTAAACTTCTATCATACTTTTATAATGAATAAGTTTAATAAAAGTATGATAGAAGTTTTAAAAATATTTCATATACAGTAAACGCTACATGGCAAAAACCTTTAAATGGTTTTAGGCTTACACATATATTTTCATTTGTCTTATTATTACAGTACTTTGAGACTTAATATTTAAAATTCTAATATTAATTTTAACAATTTCAATCTATGTTGTAATACAAAGTAATCTAAAACTCATTCTCACGCCATATATCACATGTTGTCTATAGATTACAAATATATCACGAATTTCCACGTGTTTTATGATAAGTCAAAGGTACCGACACATCTGAACATACTTTCACCAGTTCATTTTTAAATTGATCACAGTTAACTTACTAGTAAAAACGTATTTAATGTTAATATAAAAAACTTTAGCATTTTAGCAAAACTTTAGATTCATAGAAATAATCAAAACACAATTTAGTATACTGTGTATACTGTGTACAATATAAAATTCTTGTACTGTTTTTATTCCTATGCTTTTCCTATGATTACATGAATTACATAGTCTATCGTATCTATTATGACACAAAAGTACTTTTAACTAAAGACTTTGTACCCAAAGAGTAGATATGCGTAGACCGTAATGTGTACTAAAAGTGCGTTCAGTAGTGAATCCAATGCCAAAACCCAGTTATTATGTGTGGCACTAGTGATGAATAAAATGAGGATATTTTATCACATAAAGTCAAACCAGAATTTTCAAGGTTTTCAACGTTTTTACACAAATATACGCTTAAAATGTGTATTCATTGCCATTGATTGACAAAACATTTGTGATGATTGCATGAATGGCATGCTATTTAGTTTTGAAAACATTATGTAATTGATTTGAACAGCACTTTGAATTGTGTTTAGAGTCCACCATTGAACCGGACTTTGAGTTTTTTGCGAGTTATGAATCATTTCCTAAAATTAAATCATAAATCAATTCGTGTTTTACACTTCACTTCATATATAAATAGTTGTGAATAAAACTTTTACTTTGAGTTCAAATTAAATGTTTGTCTAAAAGTCAAAAAAAATACTGAAGACTTATTCCTAAACTAAATCAACACAAAAATGTAAGTTTTATTCAAAGTATTTACTTTCAATAAATTAATAAAACTTTGAATTCATTACAAACAATTACTTATAGCTATAAAATGGATATAAAAGAGAGACACAAATCGCACGTGAATTTCGACACAGAATTCACGGGAAGTACTGATTGGGAGTGCGTTGACTACCATAGCCTTCCCAAATGGCTTCAGGACAACAAATACCTGCACCGACACCACCGGCCAGTCATACCATCCTTTTACCAGTGTTTTGGCTCAATATTTCGCATACACTCGGAAAGTGGCAATATATTGACCCATTTGATCGGGTTCATATTATTCGCAATCATAGCACCCGTACTACTCCTAAACCCCAACACGAGTCTCAAACCTATCGACAAACTCATGCTTTTAATCTACTTCTTGGGGGCACTCACGTGTCACCTGTTGTCCACCGTATACCACACCTGCAAATGCCATTCCCCCGGTGTTTGTCAACTGTTCCACTCACTGGACTTCTGTGGCATTTCCCTACAGATCATCTGCTCTATGATACCAGCCTTTTATTATGGCTTTTATACTCAACACATGCAATCGTTTTACTTGTATGGAGGGTCGGGGTTCATACTATTCACGATAGCCCTGTGCATCAGCGTATGGCCTAAATTCGCTACACCCACCTACAAACCCCTGCGGGCACTGGTATTCTTGGTGTTTGGCCTCTCAAATGTAATTCCTGGTATTCAT